CTAGAGGGGGGGCCCCCCCCCCCCTGCCGTATTTGGGGACGGGGGCGGGGAGCGGGGGGGGGAGCATGGGGATTTAAAGGTGCCGTGACTTTTTTTTTTGGTGCAATTTGTTTCCCTCAATCTTCCCCTTTTTTTTCTTGCCATGTTCGGTATTTTGGGTGAAACTCTGTGGCAACCTTAGGAGCAGGCCGGGCTTTTTTGGTAAATGCAGACCACAAGGGTGTGAATGCACCCCCTTGCTTCCTTGAGTCAGCGAGAAAAATAGCCCCAGCCTTTCCTCGGCTGGCCAGAGCAGGGGAGGGAGGCTGCACTGGGGGGTACTTTCGCGTTCTATGCACCCTGCCCCACATTGGGCATCTATGGGGTGCAGCGCTCCCAGGCCCCCTCTGCATCCTCGGTGTAACACCACTGGTAGCTGTAGGTGTGATACCCGCAGTAGTGCTGGGGGGAGCAGCAATACTCCCAGTTCTGTTTGTAATCTGTGTAGCACCAGTAGTAACCTTTCCCATAAAGGCCACAGGGATGGTCGGCCCGGCAGGGCGTCCTGGAGACAGTCACAGCGGAGTACTGGGGGGAGCAGGAAGTGGTGGATCCGTCTCCTCGTGAGCACTCGTACCGCCCTGACCATCGATTCACCAAGCACTTGCTTGTGCAGCAGTAATCCCAGTCGTTGTTGTGAGACGTGTAACACCAGCTGTAGGCGTATCCGTGTTTCCCACAGGGCGCCCCCACACAGCTCCACCCCTGGGCGGTGACACGGGAGTCCGGCAGGTGCTTCTGCTCCTGGAGGGTGCACTCTCTGTCCGAAATCCCAGAATCCTTTGCTACTTCAGCAGCAGCAGCAGGGGTCAGGACGCAGGCCAGGTTGTCTTGGTTGTACAAATTCGTAAACCTTTTCTGCCATTCGGACAAGTCGGGAAAACCCGCCGTGAACCGGACGTTTGTCAGCTCCAAGCTGTTCTGATCCAAGTTCTGGCTGCACATCACCTGGGAGGTCTCCGCGTCTAGTTGGCTTTTCTCCTGTTCCGAGAGGAGCTGAGAGTAATAGTCGGACAGGAGGATCCGTAAGGTTCTGTACAAGGCGGCCCTCACTGCGGTTACAACCTCTTTGACTTTTCTGTTCTTGGAGCCACAGTCGTCTGCAAAGACCTTGACTGACTTGACGTACACACGAGTTAGCGCGTCCCGGGAGGAGCTGGGAGTAACGGTCGGACAAGAGGATCTGAAAAGTGTTGTACAAAGTGGACCTCACTGCGGTTACAACCTTTTTGACTTTATCGTTCTCGGAGCCACAGTCGTCTGCAAAGACCTTGACTGACTGGACGTACAGACGGGTTAGCTCTGCGTTTAGCTCCTTCACAGACATGATTCGAAGTTTGGACTCCTCCCGGTTCTCGGCTAGGAAGGCCAAGGAGAATTTTCGGCGGCTGTCCCAGTGATCGCAGCACACAGCCGTCCAGATGTGGCTGGGCACCGAGACCCGGTTGAAGGGCCGGCTACGGTCCCCTTCCTCGTCCTCGCTCTGCATTGGGATTCTCACATTGCCATTGGGCACCGTTCCCGTCACTAGGTACAGGATGCCCGACATGCAGCTCTCAGTTAGCTGGGCCTTGAGGGTTTTCTCCAGCTGGGACCAGTGGATGCGGTTGAAGCAGGGGTCCATGGGGGCAGCATTGGTGAGGGTGAAGGTGGCCGTGCGGCTGTCATTACACTGGAAGGCGTTGGGGTTCAGGTGTCCCCGGTCGTAGGACGTGTCCTCGTAGTCCTCGTTGACGGCCTGGCTGGATCTCAGCTCGTCCTTGCTCAGTGTAGACTCAGCCTCTGTCGTCATGTCTGGGGACTTGTTCTGATCTGACAGCTGTGGACGCAGAAGGTCAGAAGATTTTGGCATTTCATGAGGTGCCGACATTCGGGGGCATCCCCCCGTGTCCCTGTCAGAGCCCCTCGCCCAACGCAAACAGCAGCACCCCGGGGCTCAGCTCCCCAGCTCACTCCTGGGCACCGTAGCTACTTACTCACTTGTGAGCCGGGATGTCCAGCCCACCCACTGGGGAGATCAGACACGGCCTGGGCCCGTCTCTACCCCGAGACCTCCCTCCGGGCCCCCCTCTCTTGGATCACACCCCTCTCCCAGCGACCACCCAGTAGCGCCCCTCTGGGACCTCCTGGCCCGGCTCCTGGGCACCACCTCCTGTCCCCTCTTGTCTCCTGGGGCTCCATTCAGAGCAGAAGAAACCGGCGCTGAGGGAAGAGCCGGGAAAGAGAGCCGGGCAAGGAAGCGGGAGGTGGATGAGAAGCCGCAGGAATTTCAACCAGGTGGACTCTGGTCCCCGCCTCAAGCGGTGTCCCCATTGGCACGTTGGTCGGGAAAACGTTTGTCGGTCAGGGCCAAGGGCACGATTTCGGGAGAGGGAGGGGACTACACCAGCGAGCACCAGGGCATGGCATCTTCTTCTTGGTCCCTTTTCAATGATAGTTAGAAAAGCAAATTTCCTGTTGTTGTTATGCTTGCCCTTTTTGTGGGATGAGCAATATAATAGGCCAGGGCTACTCAACATATGGCCTGTGGGCTGCGTGCTCCCTGTGGCCCACGGTGAGGGCTGTGGGGGGTGGGGCAATTTGTCCTAGGTCCCAGGCCCCACAGGGGCCCCCACAAGAATGTCTGAAGTCTGAGACAGGGAGTGCCAGGAAGGGGCCCTTGAAATTGCTTTGCCCCGGCCCCCCTGAATCCTCTGGGCGGCCCTGCAAGAAGGAGACCGAGGCGGGATTCCTCTGGGGGATTCCCTTGTACGGCCTGATGCACGGACAGAAAATGGTTCTACCCCTAGATGGAAAAATGCCCGGGATTTCCTGTACTCTGGGACCCCTCCCTTGAGACCTCCCCTCCCCTGTGCCCCCTGCCCTGGGTCACCCCCTCTTTTATCCCCCGCATCCCGAGGATCTCATCCCCATCCAGCTCCTTCTCCCAACTCTCCTGGGACCTCATCCCATGTGCCTTCCTGTTCCCTGGACTCGTCGTGCCGTTTCCCTCCTGATTTGTGACACTTGCCCCTTCCCTCTCCACTCCTTTCCCTCCCGCCCCCTCTGTTCCTCCCACCGAGCGCCGGGACCGACCTGGGGCTCCACGAACCACTTGCTGCGCCTTTTGGGTTGCTGTGAGCACTGGTTGGGGTTCAGGGTGTAGGCCGACCAGAGCGGGATGCGGTTGGCCTTGTCGTAGAGGCTGGCGTAGTGGTACCGGTTCCGGTACCGCTGGCAGATATCGGCTGTGACATTCGTAACAAAGCCATTGGGACTGGTTTCTTTGTAGAAATACTCTCGGCACTTATCGAACGTCCCCACTTCGGCCAGCGCCGGCCCTGCCCAGAGCCACATGCAGCCCAGGAGCACCGGCCAGGCCACAGATCCACGAGACACCGGCATGTCACTGCCTTGCTAGGCACTAGGAACTGCACCTGGGTCTGGTTCTTTGCAGTCTTCCTGCCTGGGGCTTTGCGAGTGAGTCCCGTCGGCCCCTCCCAGCTGCATAGAGAACGACCAGAGCCTCTGCCCTCCCCTTCTCAAATACTCTCCCTCCACCTCAATCTCGGGGAGGGAGTCGCGGGGCAGGATCTGTGAGTGCCAGGCCAGACTGGAGAGAATTTAGGGGGCACGTCGGCCCCACAATCCCAGGCTGCAGACCACGGTGTCTGTCCTGAGTTCTCTGCTGCGTTTGCTGCCAACCTTTTTCCTGTTTGTTTGTTCTCTTGTTTCACTTTTGGTTTTGTTCTGAGACCGTCGAATAGCCGCTGCCAACAGGCCTCTTGCCCTGTCAGACATGATCTCTGAGGGTATGTCTACACTTCTGTGACGGACCGGGCCGTGTCTGGGCACAGCTGAGGGCGTCCGCTCAGGGCGAATTGCTCAAATCCGGGGCTCCTTACAGCCCCCAGACTGGTGACCTCTCCACACAGGCCACAAACCAGTCTCACAGAGCACCCAGATTGCACTGCATGACTGTCTTTCAGAAGTCTGTTATATCTGCATAGCTATCTTCTTCATCAAAGGACGGAATCTATTTTCCATAAAACCATGTTGATTGGCATTAAGTATATTCCAATCCTATAATGCTCATATCATTTGAATCCTGGATCAGTTTTTCCTTTCTTGTTGTTGGATTTTTTGTTTTTTTGTTTTTTGCCCAGGATTTGTTGGCCTCCGTCGGTCAGTTGACCATGGATGACGTATCCTAGTTCTCATCTTGGTTCGTGTCGAATTGTCTGGGACAGCGTCGGGGACAGCGTCGTTGGTGGCTGAAAAGGCCAATCCGGGACAGGCATTCTTTGCCGCAGAAGTCGCAGCTATAGGTGGTTCCCTGGCTGTTGTTGTTGCGTAACTTCCTGCGGGCTCGCTTTTCTTCTGATGCACGCATCATGTTCGTTTCGCCTGACTTGAGCTGTGTGGTCAGGGTGCCCCCCCACTTTGGGCGGTCTGCTGAGAGGTCTTCCCAGGACTGCGTGTTTATGTCGATGGCTTTCATGTCCCTCTTCACGACATCTTTAAATCGCAGGTTCGGGCGCCCTGTGGTTCTCTTCCCAGATGCCAGTTCCCCGTAGAGGATGTCCTTTGGGATCCTCCCATCCTCCATGCGGCGTACATGGCCAAGCCAACGCAGGCGACGTTGTCGGAGCATGGTGTACATGCTGGGGAGGCCGGCTCGAGTCAGAACTTCGAAGTTGGAGACTTTGTCTTGCCAGGTAATACCCAGGATGCGGCGCAGACCTCGTAGATGGAAGGCGTTCAGTCTCCGCTCTTGTCTCGCGTATGTGGTCCATGTCTCGCTCCCGTACAGCAGGGTGCTGATGACGCAGGCGTTGTACACTGCCATCTTTGTTGCGGTTGTCAGCCTGGGGTTGGTCCACACTCGGGTTGTCAGGCGGGCTAAAGTAGAGGCTGCCTTCCCGATCCTCTTGTCGAGCTCAGCGTCAAGGGAGAGATTATCGGTGATGGTGGAGCCCAAGTACGTGAACTGGTGGACGACGTCAAGCTGGTAGTCGTCTACTGTGATGGCTGGTGGAGTGACAGTGTCCTGGCTTAGGACGTTTGTTTTTTTTCAAACTGATAGTCAGCCCAAAGTCTTTGCAGGCCATGGAAAAACGGCTCATCAGCGACTGTAGTTCTTCCTGGGTGTGTGTGACGACTGCTGCGTCGTCGGCAAATATCATGTCCCTGATCAGCGTCTCGCGTATCTTCGTCTTGGCTTTGAGGCGAGAGAGATTGAATAGCTTGCCGTCCGATCTGGTGATAGCAATGCTTAACCACATTCAGAGAAATATTCAGCTTCCACACAGATTACAGATTCCTACCTACACACACAGACATTATACACTCACATAAATAGCGTACATAAGATCAGCAAACAATAAGCTCCCATTCAATACCCCACATGGCTCCCTTTTATATCAATTTCTGGGGCCAACACCCCCACCTAGGGGTGCAGCAGCGATCTGGCTGCTTCCCTCCAATTCGGTAATGTGACAACTACCCCCCTAGTTCCAACTAGGGTGGTTAATGTAGGCATACCGCACTTGCAAATGAAGCCCGGGATTTGAATTTCCCGGGCTTCATTTGAATCTTGCTGGGCGCCGCCATTTTTAAATCCCCGTTAGTGTGGACTCCATGCCCATGGAATTACGGAGTAGGTAGTACCTCAGGTGTACCAGTAGTTCAAATTAGAAAGCCTAATTCGAACTACCTACTCCGTGCCGCATGTAGCCGCGGGCATGGAGTCCGCACTAACGGGGATTTAAGCAGCTGTGGCAAGTCTGGTAGGAGGCCGCCCAGGTTGTGGGGTTACGTCCCCAAGAGCTTGGGTGCTACATGGTTGTTACTTACTCTGGCCACTAAGCCTCACTGCCCAGAGGGAAGGGAGAGGTTGTTAATGTCTGTGCCCACTAGGCCCCACTGCCCTAAGGGAAGGGAGGGGTGTTAGTTGCTCTGACACTCAGGGCCCACGTCTCTTTTTACCCTCTGACCTATGCAGCAGAAGCCTGCAGGGCAGAACAGGGTTGGCAAGGCCAAGTGGGCAGCTCTGTGTCGAGAATGGGCCTGAGTCGTTCCTTGAACTCAGGAGAATTTATAAATCGCGCCGTGAATTCTCCTCCAGACATGAAGGGTATTATTCGATTCGTCCCCCACCTCCGGTCTCTCGAGTGCTGGGCTCGCAATGTTCCCTCCCATTTTTCCCATGCATGTGCGGAATGATTTTTGCTCTGTGCACTGTGAGGGAGTCTGTGAGGGGGTCACTCACCACCGTAGCGGGGGTCCGTTGTCTGTCCCCGGAATCAGTCCATTCCGCCCGCACGGGCCTCTGCTCACGTGGCGTTTCCCCTCTGGAATCCTCCGATCACGTTGTTCTCTTCGCCACACTGCCCTCCGGCAGTGCCCAAGTCACTCGCTCTGAGCCCCCCTTCCGGGGGTTGGTGTCTCTCCAGCAGGCCTTGCCGCAGGCCTAGCCAGCTGGCCGGTTGGCTGTCCGAGCGCCCTGGCCCAGCCTGGCTCTCTAGCCCTGTCCTGCTCCCTCGGCAGCCAGGCTCACACTGCCTTTGCTGAAGCAGCCCTTCCCTTTTATAACTCCCAGCTGGGCCTTAATTGGCCAACGCCGCCCAGCTGGGCTGAACTCCCCGGGCCTGCTCCAGGCTGGGATTTGGCTCCTAAAGGGCCAGTACAGGGCAGCTGCCCTGCTACAGCACCAATGTCTGAGGGGCTGGGGTGGCGTTTAGTGGTTGGGGGCTCAGCGTTGGGGCGGCAGGTTGACGGGTGTGTTGGAGTTTGGACTCTGGCTGGTGGCCTGGGCTTTGGGGTGGGACGGGGGATGATGGGCTCGTAAGAACGTGAGTACGGCCACACTGGTTCAGACTGAAGCAAGAGTGGTGCCTTAAAAAAAGTAAAACACGCAAATTCGTTTTATGAAGTTGCTTTCCACAAGTTTTCCTTGAGAAAAATCTCTTTAAATCAAGCCGAAGAATTCCGATTTCCCTTCCTCCTCATGAAATCAGGGTTACGGGAGTCGGAAGAAGAAATCCTCCAGCTCGACAGTATTTCGAGAGAACGGCTTGCTCTAAAGACGCACTCTGTTATTTCGGAATAACGTTAGTTATTCCAAAACTAGCCAATTAGTCCGTCATAAGACGGGATTTTCAGGTCTCTTCTCCACGTCGGTCTTCTCTCCTGAGCCTCTGGTCTCTCGCTCCGTCTCTCTTTCTCTTCTCCCTCTCCTGCCTCTCACTCTCTCTCTGCTCTCCTCTGTCTCCATTGGGGATGCTCGCTTGTCACCGCCCCACCCCAATTCGTGTCCCACCATGGCTCTCGGCTGACTTCTTTGCTCCCTGTGGTGGCCCGGCTGAGTGGCACAGAAGTCAGCCGAGCGCCACCGCGGGAGGCGAATGATGTGACTCAGGCAACAGTGACGCCCAGAGGGAACAGCCGGCATGACAGCGTTACAGAGTCACAGACATTGGGCTACTATATATAGGATGATGTGTAGACGTATCCCTTAGGAATTTCATATTACGATCTCAGGCTGCGACTTCACAGTATCCTCGCTAAAAACGTTTATAACCTATGGACGGGGGGGAGGGGTTTGAAGTTTGCGCAGGCTCGTATTTTCATCGAGTCACATCTTGTAAAAAGGGGGGACGTGTTTCTTCCGCCAAAGAAGCGGCTTGTGCCCATTCAAGCTCACGATCCCGTCTACATTTTTGGTTCGTCTCTAAGGTGCTGCAGGAACATTCGTTGTTTTCTACGGTTTTTCAATTACAGATGAAAACGGCCCCCCCACTTCAGAAAGGAAGAATGGCATAAGAAGGGGAGGGGATGAAGAGGGAGAGGGTGGGGTGAGAACGGCTTCTGATTGGTCAGACCAAGAGGCGGGGTTAGTTAAGTAACTCACCGCCCCGGGAAGTCTGATCATTTCCCCTCCGACAGCCCTTGGGTAAGGTTGCTGCTGCTTTCTAGACTTTTCCGCCCACCCTCTCATCTTTCAGAAAGGAAGAATGGCATAAGAAGGGGAGGGGATGAAGAGGGAGAGGGTGGGGTGAGAACGGCTTCTGATTGGTCAGACCAAGAGGCGGGGTTAGTTAAGTAACTCACCGCCCCGGGAAGTCTGATCATTTCCCCTCCGACAGCCCTTGGGTAAGGTTGCTGCTGCTTTCTAGACTTTTCCGCCCACCCTCTCATCTTTCATTTAAGTTTGTTCATTTTCTTCGGTTTTTTAATCCCCTCTCTCCACCATTTCTCCTTAATTCGCTTTCATTCTTTTCCCAAGCTTTCCTTGCTGTTTTCTCTAGCTGCCGCGTGCTTTTTTCACCCCGTTCCCCTCTAAAAGCCTGCTTTTCCGTTTCCTTTTGCATTTCATTTCCTTTTTCATTTCTTTTATTTCATTTCCACACGTTTTCCTTGCTGATTTCCCTCACTTCCATGAGATTTCCCCGCCTGTTTTTCCTCTAGAAGCCTGCTTTTCTAATCTCCTCTTTTATGGATTTTCCCTTGTAACTTATTTGAATTCTTTTTTCATCCCGTTTCCTTCCCGACTTCTCTAGCTGCCCCGTTCCCCACCCCCCAATTTCCTCTAAAAGCCTCTTTCCCCCCATTTTCCTCTTTTATATAAAGTGCTTTTTAATCGATTTTAATTCTTTTTAAAAACTTTTTCTTTTATGTATTTCATTTGCATTTGGTTCCCATTCCCCTCTCTCCACCATCCCACTTTTATTTAATTAACCTTTTAAGTCTATTTTAATTCTCTTTTCACTCTTTCTTTTCCGTGTTTCCTTTTTCTTTATTTTTCAAACCCCTGTCTCCTGCACTAACAAGCTTAATCAATTC